CTTAACGGATTTTTTTTTTATTACAGCCACTAGTAATTTTATGTTTTTATTTCATTTAATCCCTCCACCCCTGCATTTTTTCTTTTTCACTCACCCCACAACCCCCCCCCCGCCTCAATCTTTGGTTCAAGTGGTTCCTTTGACGGTGGGTGGCAACATGTCAGCCTTCTGCAGCAACCAATGAGCAAATGCTACGTCCAGACAAACGGCGGGAAATGTAAACCGGAAGCACTTAAATTTAACAATGTTGCGCTTTTCTTTTCTTTTCTTTTCTTTTCTCATTTTTTTTTTGTTTTTCGCCATTATTTGAAAGTTCCCATATCAGCCTTCAAAAACCTTCCATTTTTTTTATTTCTCTTTATACTTTGATATTTCTTTCACTGAAAACGATTTAACTTACCGTTTATTTTAGGTGCCTCGACATGTATGATAGCTAACGAATTATTGTGCAGTATGTTTGATCCTCACTGGGTGTCTCGATATTCTGGTTTTGTAACAATCTTTGCGAATTTGAGAGAATATGATACACATAAATTTCTATACCGATGTGACATTACCCAATGAAAAGTATACAGGTTGATTGATACATTTATTGATAATATTTTACATATATTTACAATTCAAAATGGCCACCCTTTGCTTTCACCATAGCCCTTACTCTCTACTCAACTGAAGTACACCATCTCTGCGTTCAAATTGCATCACGGAGTCAGAAAAGCTTCTTTCTTTTTTTCTTTTTTTTTTTGATAATTTCACCCCAAGCAAGGCGGGAATGCCGCTAGTACGCAGTGGATTACAGGGAGTGAAAGTGAGAGAAAAGATTGAATATAGAGAGGATTGAGAAAAGGACAAAAAATGAACGGGATTCAAGAAGACAGAAGATAGTGATTCACGTTGCATTTACATTTTTGTAGATTGTATTTATCAGGGAAGCAAGGAAACGAAAGGGAATTCCACAGACGGGAAGTGCGAGAAAAGAAACTTGTTGGAGTAGAAGTGGCGATTGCATTTAGCTATTTAAACAGTAAACGGGTGGGACCTAGATGGCAATCTAGTAGCACGCTTAAATTCATTTAGTCGGGAAACCAGAGAAAAAGGCTCGTCAGAGCAGTTGCCATGAAAATATTTGTAGAAAAGACAGAAGGAAGCTACGCCATGTCGGTGAGAAACTGACTGAAGCCAAGATGGCAAGTCAGGGGCAGTTACATTACAGATTCTTTAGATTTTGTCAAGGACCTCTAGATTAATAACAGGAGCACCAGACCGGACGAATGGTAGATTTGTAAATGTACAAGATGGATTCTGACGATAAAGATTTTCTGCCTCGTCACAGTGACCAAACTTTCCTTGCAGTAGTTTTAACTATTGATTCGATGTAGTCGCTCCATTTTAAGCCAATTGAAAGAAGACGCAGTGTTTTGCTCTGCAGGAGTCTAGCGCCAACCATGCTGGTGTCAGAACGGACAAGATGTCCGTTCGAACGAAGACTTTGCCTGCGGCAAGCTGCATCTCCTCCAATGTTTTCTCCCCTCTACCAAGCCGTTTTTTCTTGGGGGGCACTTAAAAGCTCTCTTCATTGACTCGTCTATGGTTTTAGTCCTAAATTCCCTTTCATAATCCACCTTAGCAACCTATCGGAAATATCCAGCACTTTCGTAATGCTTCTTCGTGGACCCTTCATCCTCTTCATATCGCTTTCAATGGCTCTCCTGATACGAAATGAATGTTTTCTTCCTGCAATTTCTTGTTTGCTCAAAAAGGTTTTCTATATTGGTTAAATGAGAGCAGTTTTATTTTGGAGGTGTTAAAATTTGCAAGACATTTCCTGTCCCATACATTTAGATATGGATGAAACATCGCTCTCCAATATAGGCCATATAGCAATATACATAAGATTAATGTTAGGGCTTGATGGATGCCAAACCGAATTGAGAAAAATGAACGCAAATGTCTCTGGTATTATTTCTGTCTCAAATTGACCGTGTGTGCAAAAACTCCATCTTGAATGAAGACATGATCCACTCTCCCGTCGTTTTCGACCTATGAGTGTCTTTCAGTTCAGTTTTTATGTTTATGTTTCGTATGAGACAAAAATCCTGCAAGGGATTTGCAAACAAGTCCACGTGAAGGACATACTGAAGGGTTGACCGTCATATGAGCTGATGTATGAGCCCGAGATTTCATATTGATTCTTAATTCTCTCAGATGGTTGAGACAATTCTTTTCAAAGTTCGTTATACCTCGGTTGAAGGTCTTTCTCCAGTTTGCTCGGTTTTCAGCAGCAAGTTCAAACTCCTCTATAGGAATATTTGCAGGAATTAAATTGTATTTAAGTTTATCCTTCAAGCGTAACTAAGGACGGCCTACGTTACGCTTATCATGAAAAAGTTGGATTTTCGACATCCGATCATCACTCATTTTGATGACATAACCATATCCCATCTGAACTGTGATTGCATCAAAAACGATTCAATACCGCCAATGCCACATTTGATGAAAAGATCAGCGTTTATGAATGAAGACATAACGACTTCCAAATGTGGCTGACAAACAGGGCAACTTATCTGCTGGTAAACTGCTATTTGTTTTCATTCCTTCTTCAATAATCAAGATCAATTTCTCTTGTGACCAAGTAAATGATTAATGACACCAGATGAGTATAAGACGAATAGAAAGAGTGTATCGAATGAACTAACACTCGATCTATTCACTGTTCCCTGTTCCCCGAACCTTCTCTCCTACTAAACTTATAGTAGGCGGAAGAGTCTAACATAGACTCTTAAGAGTGAGGACACCACAACAATTCCAAACGATCGGAAGCAACAACAGTCGAAAACATAACAAGTTGGTTTCTGTTGCTTGAAATATATTCTGATACCCCCGGGGATGTTTCCTGTTTAAGTGGAGTTGACACTATAGTTTTAGTAGTTGATCACAGCCTCCACAGTGAAAAACATCTTGTCCCTCCAAACGAAGACTTTGCCTGCGGCAAACTGCATCTCCTCCAATGTTTTCTCCCCTCTACCAAGCCGTTTTTTCCTTGGGGGGGGGGCACTTGAAAGCTCTCTTCGTTGACTCGTCTATGGTTTTAGTCCTAAATTCCCTTTCATAATCCACCTTAGCAACCTATCGGAAATATCCAGCACGTAAAGGTTCTTCGTCGACCCTTCATTCTCTTCATATCGGTTTCAATGGCTCTCCTGATACGAAATAAACGGTTTCTTCCAGCATTTTTGTTGTTTGCTCATCTTGATATTTTTTTTCCACACATTAAAAACATTCAACTGTTTTATCTCCAATATCTGTCTATATCTCTGAGATAAGGCATTAAGATTACTTGCATTATTTACATTATTTGGGCTGTTATCCTCATCTTCATTGTCATATTCACAACGTTTCGGCTGTTGTACGTTCGGGCCTTCTTTAGGTGATTGGAATTTGTCTTCGTTGTACGTTCCGGCCATCTTCAGGTGATTGGAAATTTTCTTCAATATCTATCTATATCTCTGAGATGAGGTATTATGATTACTTGCATTATTTATATTATTCGGACTGTTATCCTCATCTTCATTGTTATTTTCACAACGTTTCGGTCATTGTACGTTCCGACCTTCTTCAAGTGATTGGAATTTTTCTCCAATATCGGTCTATATCTCTGAAATGAGGCATTAAGATTACTGGCATTATTTACATTATTCGGACTGTTATCCTCATCTTCATTGCAATATTCACAACGTTTCGGCCGTTGTACGTTCCGGCCTTCTTCAGGTGATTGGAATTTTTTTCAATATCTGTCTATATCTCTGAGATGGGGTATTATGATTACTTGCATTATTTACATTATTCGGACTGTTATCCTCATCTTCATTGCCATATTCACAACGTTTCGGCCTCTATATCTCTAAGATGAGGTATTATGATTACTTGCATTATTTACATTATTCGGATTGTTATTCTCATCATCATAGCCATATTTACAACGTTTCGGCCGTTTTACACTCCGACTTTCTTCAGGTGATAGGAATTTCAAACCGAATTCTTTATTTCGTCCACGGGGATAGATTGTTCTAGTTCCACGTGACATGCCTCTTCCGGATGTCTCAGTTATGTCCCTTTAATATTTTTTTTTATTAATTTGAAAAAAATGTACTTACTATGAACTAATATCCGTATTTGAATTCTGTTTAATTCTTTAAAAAATCGCTTGAAAAGTGGACACGAGCCACGAAACTGCGCAGTTGGGAGAAGAATTAAATTTAATTCAAATAACGATATTAATTTACAGTAAGTAAATTTTTCAATTTAAAAAAAATATATATATATATATATATATATATATATATATATATATATATATATATTAAGAAATGGACAAAGTCCGACAATTTATTTATTAAAGACATTTTTATGTTTAACGTTCTTTTTTATAGATACAAGTATTTAAGTAAATGCTCTGTTTATAATAAACAGTATTAAATAACATTTACCGGCCTGAATGTCCGAGAAATTTTCATAGAAAATATTCGTCCTTTGACAGGATTCTGTGAAAATTTCTCGGACATTCAGGCCGGTAAATGTTATTTAATACTGTTTATTATAAACAGAGCATTTACTTAAATACTTGTATCTATAAAATAGAACGTTAAACATAAGAATGTCTTTAATAAATATATATATATATATTGAACTGTCCTCGGACTCTCTTCCTCATCTTTATTGTCATGTTCACGATGTCTCGGCCGTTGTACGCTCTGGCTTTTTTCAGGATCTGTCTATATTTCTCAGATGAGGTATTGTAATTATTTACACTATTTACATTTTTCGGAATGTTGTTCTCATCTTTCTTGTCATGTTCACGACATTTCGGCTCATCTTGCAATTTTGTTGTACTTATTGCTTTCCCCTAGCAATTGTTCCAATATTGTATTCATTTCTATGAGCTCTAGTAAAATATCAGCTCTGGTTAAAAATGGTTACTGACATATTAAGCTTCTAAGTCC